TGTGATCTTTATGTGGGAAACAGAGAGACAACCACAACCTGAGTGGAGCTGTGCACAGTTGCAGAAATCAACCAATACATGAGACTGGCTGACGAAGCAGGGCCATTGGCTTTTGCTTCTCGGGCTAGACAGCAAAGGCAGCCAAATAAAATGTTTGTTTTACCACTGCCCTTGGTTTTTAGCTGTGAGCCAAGTTAAGCAGACTTGAATATCTGCAGGTCCCTGGACATCTGCCAAGTTGTTGTGCAATGACAGAGACTATGAGGGTTTTTTAAAGGATGATTGAAATTGTAAGGCAACACAGTCAGGTTACAAACCATATATTAAAAAAACAACAACCCCATTATTTTATTTGTGTTCTTGCTAAATTTTAATTGCTGAAAGAATGTTTAACATCTAATTTACATGTCACTGTTCAAGCTGGTTGCTTCTTGCATTTCATTTAGTCCAAGCAACTAGCTTGAATGGTGACATTTACTGGTGCTTCTAAGCTTTTTCACTTTCTCATTCACTAGCACTATTCTACTAGGTCTGGGCTGCAAAGTAAATCCTAATGTTCACTAAAAACTGCTTTCAGCGCTGTGATGAGAACCCTCCCTTTTAAGTAGGTTCTATCATACCTGCATTGATTTTTCAAAGCTAATTTGGTCTGTGATCCTACTCAGTGACAGGCACATGAGCAGTTTTAGAAAGTCAGTGGAAATACTCATGTGCACAGAGTTAAGCTTGTATCTGACTTTGCAGTGGGGTGTGTGTACTTGTTATAAGCTGCGTGATTGGGTCTTTTTAAATGTCTCGTTAAAACAGCAAAATCCTACCGCATAGAGAGACAACTTTAAAAAGGAGGGCCCTTCTCCTAATGCACTATAGCTGGCCCTCTGATCTAATTAGATAATAGATAACATATGGGTGGAGGAGCAGTGTATAAGTTAGTCATCTCTCTATGTTCTTTGCAGTAAGATGAGTTGATTAAATTAGAGTCCTTACAGCAGCAAAGCCTGCTATGCCCATTATCTGGGGAGCCTGATGGGTTAGTCTTAGGGAGGGAATTTTTGCTTGCTGTCTTGTTCGTGTGGGTCCTCAGTAAAATTTTACCATGAGACCGTTGTTGTTGTTAGTACTTCTCCTGTTTGTGTATTCCCTACTGGGGCAGGTACCTGGTGGGCAGGTTCACAGGCTGCAATCTAGCCGCAATGCAGATAACGTGCAGGAGCAGGTGAGTAGCAGACTGCAGACCTAAGTTTGTCCTGAGTGCCAAAATATGGAGATGCAGTACTGTGAGTTCTTGGGGACCCTCTTCTGTTCCTTGACACATCTGTTGTCTTGCATGTACATATATAAACTAGTTGTCAGAGCTGACTTCACATGACCTTGCAGGCCTAGTTATTTCCCCTGCTGCAAAGCTTTGGCTAAAATATATCTTTGAGCAGTAAGGTGGTGGCAAGCAAGGTCTGTTTGCCTTCTCTATAACAAATCACTCCTGTTTTCTTTGCAGGCAAGTGGGTCCCTCCAAGAGTCCCAGCAGGCACAAGCAGGTAGGAACTAAACTTTAGACCTACTAGTGTATAGATAGCCCTGTAAGCAGGTTATTAGTCCAAAGCTCTCATGTTCCTCCGTCCTTGAAATGAAATAAAGTCCAGTGGCTCTTCCCCTGTATGTGCAGACAGCAAAACCCTGGTGGGAAAACCAGCTCTCTAAAGCAGGAGCAATCTTGCTGTAGGAAGTGGCTATTAAACCACAGCTAAACCAAGTGACCAGAGCCAGACTCAGAAACAACCTGTATCTCTGGGTTAACCCTACTTTCAGCTCTCTCTGGCTTGTTGTAGCAAAATGGGTCTTGTTCAGAAATTCTGAGCCCATTCCTGCACAAGGGATAGACCGTTTCATTTTGGTGAGGGCTAAATGTTGAGTGATAGAAAGAAGCTAATAACCATTAGATTTTTGGTGAGAGAATAGGTTTCATTAACATGATGATGATGATGGCTCTTTCTTGAAAAGAGGTGAACTGCTGTTCATGCCTGAGCTGACTGATTGAAAAAAGTAAATCCCCTTTTCAACTGAAGTATCATTTCAATTTGCTTTGAAAAACTAACAGCCCTTTGTAGTGCCTGTGCTCTGATTCTCTGCTTAGTACTTATGATCTAAGTGAATTCTCTATGCACCCTACAGTGGCAAACATCACCAGGGCGGTGCTTTTGCACATCATATTCCAAGCTTTTCTTCTTTGCATGTGAGCAAGATTTGACTCTTGGAGGGATGTGCTATGACCTTGCTTTTGGGACTGCAATGTTGCACAGAGGCAGCGGACCTGAAAGAGGAAGCAGCAGCAGGGTTCTGTCTGTTGTGGACTCTGTATTCAGTTCCAAAGGCAGCATTGTTCCCTGGGAGCCACACATTTGTTTGAGGCAGAGATCCCTGAAAGATGGGATTGCTCTGTTATGTGTCATTCCAGGACTGGTGTGTATGTATATAAAGAAAATGAGTTACACTTGGGATGCACCTAGACTTGGGTCTGTGTACCCAGGTCTCTGGTTTGTCCTCCCCTGAGAAGTTGACCTGAAAGATCCTGGGTACCCCAAATGGTGGCAGATGATAGAGCGGAAGTGTTTGGAAGAAGGAGCAATAATAGACTGCAGGGTGGCATTGTTGCCTTGTAACTAGATGTGAAAAGGCTGGTGAATCCAGCCATACTCAGTGCTCCTATTGTAGAAGAAGAGATGGGAAAGACTTAATGGATCATCTAATGTTACTTTTTTGGAGAATGTGGCAGGCTTATTAAGACGGGTCAAAAGCAATGTTGCTGAATGGTATTGTTTGAATAGCACTTACCTCTGGGAGTACAGTTTCCCCTAGACGTGTCTGTGTAGGCATATATGGATCTCTTTGCTGTTAGGAGTGTGAGTGTTGCAGTAGCTTTTAACTGAAATGGAATACCACTATTTGTAACTTGTATGCTGCTGTCTACACCAGGAGAGGCAAGGGGTTGCAAAGTGCAATGCATTATGGATTTTCTTTTTCCTTTCCTTCATTCTCTGAAGCACCTGTTGCAGTTCAGGTAGTCCTCTGAAAGCCCACTTGCCGTCTGTGTCAAATGGCACTTTTTCCTGCAGGTGCACTATAACCAAATGGATTCGAAAGCAGCCACTTGAGCAGTGGTATTATGAAGGAAAACAGCTGGAGGGGGTAAACTTGGTTGTGACCAAGATCAATGCCTCACAACTGGCTGGCAGAAATGCCTTCTCCAGGCTGAGGGAGGAGAAAAATGTTTTAGCAGACTTAAACTGCTCTTTATGGGTCTTTCCCACACAACCTCTGAATAACTTTATGCTCCAGAAACTTCTGTGCATGTTCAATTAGTGGTAAAATAATGGGGGGGTGTTCTCTTTCCCATTTGCCTCTGGGTATTATCTGTGTCTGCTACAAGGGTTGCATTTGTGTCTCCAAAACAAGAGAGCCTCTATCTGGCCCAAAGTAGCTTGAGAAACACTGAATTGGGTGGAGCACCAATGGGTCATGAAATGCCTAATGGTGACAGGGGTACTGGATTAGTCTTCTAACTTTTTTTGACATCCTAAACAAATGCATAAAATCCTGGGTAGTTAACTGACTGATCCTTATCCTGCCTCCTGTCCTGATAATTCCTTCCTGTATAACTTGTTTAGAACTAGTTCCCCCTTCTCTGTAGGTTTAATCTATTAAAGGGGGTGGGGACTCTTAAATTGGATTTATGGCCAAAGCTTGGATCAGTAATGACCCTACTTGTCAGAGGCAAATCAGCTCAGATGTCACCTGTGTTAAGTGTGTCCAGTGTGTGTTTTTATTCTGCAATCCAAATGGGGTGATGTCAGAAAGCTGCATCCAAGCTAGCCGTACAGTAGTGGCATGGCTGTGGAAGCACTGGCTGCTATGCTGGCTGCAAAACCTGTCCAAGGTTCTTTAGGGCAGAAGGCAGCAGCTGGCTGTACTGTGCTTTGTTGCCATAGAAAAACAGTCCTCAGTATTTGTTAGTGTCGGTATGTTCATAGAAGCTGCAGTAGCATTTCTAGATGTTGGTGTGGGCATATGCTTAGCTTAGCCATCTCATCTGCCTTCCTACTGTAAGCCACCACAGCTGACTGACTATAGGTTTGCTGGCATGGTCCTCTTGTAGTTGATTCTTACACCCTTGGCAACTGGGGAAAGGGGCCAAGGAAAGATAGAGACTTCTCATATGAAAAGTAGGCTCTGGAGAGCCTCTGAGACACCTGAAGTGAAGGGAAGTTTTCCTCCAGATTCTGAAATTGTCTTCTTGTCTTTCAGTGCTGGGGTTTCCTTGGATGTTGGTGTATGTGCCTGTCAGAAGTTGCCATAGAGTTCTAAAGGACAAATCTGGGGCATTTTCTCCTCCAACATACCTTAACCATTATCAAGTAAATACGTGGTGCAACTGGACCATTTGGGCAGGCTCCAGAAAACACATAATCATTTATGTCAAAGAATTTATGACTACTGAGGATTGTGACACAAATGAGGATAAGATTGTGTTTGAAGGAGTCTCTTCATTGATTGCAAATTCTGTAGTGTATGCCTGTTGGAACAAGAAGATAAATGCTTTTGCCACCTATGCCCAAGCTGTCCATGTTGTCCTTCTGAGGAAGCATGCTCCACACCATAAAAACACGCATTTTAAAGGCAAATATTATGTATTTGAACATCAGGAAGAAGATTCGATTTCCAAAGATGATTTCATTTCTGGGACTCCTCTTCGAAAAGTTGTCAAGAAAGCCAATGACATTGTTACTAGATCTAACATATCGGTGATAAACGACAGAGAGATTCTGGATGACAACATCACTAGGACCACCATTAAGGAAAATCTTTTTAAGGCAACTGCAGTTAATGCAAATGCATGGCAGACAGTGAATAAAGACCCAAGTGTTACAGTTCTGGAAAGGTCTGTTCAGCTTGCACCTTGGTATGATACATGGACTCCTGGTTTAAAAATAGAACGTCCTGCCATCTTGGAGTCTGAGAGGCTGTCTATGAAATTGGTGGCCAACGAAGAGATGCGTGGCACTGGGGAATCTCTTGGAAGTCCAATACAAACTGCAGCATCTGCTAACTGGCATCTGTGTACCCCTGCCAAAGAAGAAACTGCAGTGAATTTCAGCAGTCTGTACAGACCAACAAGACTTCCAGGTTTACTTTCTGATGCCCCCTTCGTGGAACCCTTGAAACTTCTGGAGGTGAAAGGACCAGGGCATAGGCCAGCTGTAAAACCAACACATCTGAATTACCCTATCCTGGCTACGTACTCACAGATTCTACCTCATGACATCACAGAAACCATAGAAGGACAAAATATTGATGCTGTACACTCCCAAAGGCTTAGCAGTGTTACACTGACAGAGGGGCTTCTGCAGTCTAAAATCTTGGCTTATGAAGCAGGGAGCAGTCCTGCTGATGACCTTGAGAAGGGCTTGTGGCCTACCCATGGCTTGACTAGTCAGCATGGCATGGTACCTGATCACTTGAGACTTGTATCGGAGACTAAGGGAATGGATAGATTGGGAAGCTGCCACAGTAGAACTATGCCTGTGGCTGAATTTGGAAGCCATCAATCCCAGATTCGAAATACTCAATCTCTGGATGCTTCTGTTCTAGAAAGTTTTAGGATAGCCACTGACCAAGAGAAAATCATGTTGGTCACTGCAGCACCACACAGCATGTTGGAAGGCGAGAATCACTTGAGGCTGCAAACCAGGCAATCGGTGCCTTTATCTGCCATAGAGCAAGAAAACATCCTTGCAAGTACAACTGCTTGCATACCACATACAAAGGTATCTAAGCAACTAGCTGATCAAAAGGCTGATGCATCAGAAGTGCCCTATTCAGCTGTAAAATATACCCAACCTGTGGGCATAGCTACAGACCTGGTGCCTGTCTCCTCATGTGCAGAAGCCTCCTTTACACCACCTACCTGGGCATGGGAGCCAGGGCCCACAGAACTGGAACCTATCTCCTTCCCAAGTCCAGAAGCATTCCTTTCTCCAACAGTCTCAGAACTGGAGCCTGCCTTCCCCTTCCTAAGTGCAGGGGTGCCCCTCATTCCTAAGGCCTTGGAGCTGGAGCCTGCCTCCCTCTTCCCAAGGGGAGAATCCTTCTTTGCTCCTTCAGTCTTGGAACTGGAGTCCAGCCTCTTCCCAAATGCAGAAACCTCTTGGCTCCAAAGGTCCTCAGAATTGGAGCCTGCCCTTCCCTTCCCAGGGGCAGAAGCCTCCCTCGCTCCCTCAGCCTTAGAAGAGCAGCCCAGTCTCTCCTTTCCATGTGAAGACCCACTTTTTACTCCAGCTGCCATGGACCTGGAATCTGTCTTGAAACTGGAGCCTGTCCTCTTCTTGGCAAGTGCAAAGGCCTCCCCTACTCCAAATGTCTTGAAAACAGAGCTTGTCCTTCCCTTCCCAAACATGGACTCACCACCTCTGGTAGCCTCAGAATTGGAGCCCAATTCTGAAGAACTAGAGCTTGTCCGCTTTCTCCTGAGTGTAAAATCTTCCCTTACACCAGCTGCCATGGATCCAGAGCTGGCTTCTTCAATGCTGGAGCCTGTCCTCTTCCCAAGCGTTGAAGCTTCCTTTATGTCCGTGCCCTCGGATATGGAACCCATCCACTTTCCAGGTACAAAAAACTCTCTACCTCCAGTGGCCTCTGAACTGGAGCCTGTCCCCACAGAACTAGACTTAAACTTCTTCTGGAGTGCAGCAGGCCCTCCCTTTCTAAGGGCCCTAGAAGTAGGGCCCATTTTCCCCTTGCCAGGCACAGAAGCTTCCATCTCCCCAACAGGCCCAGAGCTAGAATTCGTCCTCTTCCAGAGCACAGAAGCCTCCTTCAGTCCAGTGGCTTCAGAACTGGGGGCTGTTCCCACAGAACTGGAGTCTGCACTCCGCTTCCCTCATGCAGTGGCCTCCTTTCCTCCAGCTGCTCAGGGCGTAAGTGCTTTAAAAGATCAGCTGTCCTTGGGGACAGAAAGCAGCCACTACATGGATGCCCTCAAAGAGGCCGAGCATGTCCTCACTAATGCGACAACCACCCCTCTTCCAACTGCTCGTGTGGATAACCTGCTAGAAACCAAGTTGCACGCAAGCCTGCTGGTTGACAACTGTGGGGTTCCAGGTTCTACAGAACAGGAACAAGTCTTCCCAAACCCAACAACTTCTCAAGAAAAGGGAACATATGCCCAACGGCTAATAGTAAAGAGTGAGAGAGAAGATGAAGGCATCCATTGGGTAGAAACTGTAGAATCCAAAGGAGTTGATGAAAAGCTCCTTTTCCCAAGTCTCTTCCCTGCAATTAAGCAGCAAGTCTTAACCCCAGAACCTGAGTTTGAGGACCATATAAGTCTCTATTCCCTGGTGCCAAAGTCTTTCACTAAAATGCCACTAATCTTAATGGAGATGGACCACAGAGGAGGGAAGCGAAATGAGTTTGTAACTTCTAGCACCAGTGTTACACCACCTCTGGTACATGTAGACTCGCACAGTGAAGTCAAACCAACAGTGCCCATGAAGGAGATCACTCAAACATGGGAACAAACAGTCCCACCTCCTATGGAACATGCCAAAGTACAAGATACTGCTGAGTGGAGAAGTGCCTCTCTGTTTACTAGTACTGGCCACACTGCTCCAGTGCCTCAAACAGGGAAACCAGCACTGAGAGAGAGGATGGATTTGGCTCCTGTCCAGTCCACCTCTAATCTTGTATCTGAGAGAGCATGCATGACAAAAACGCAACAACTCCTGAGTGATGTTGGTATGTTGATGCTGATTGACTTTATCTGGGTAATTTTGCCCCGTAGGAGTAGGACTAGAGCATGGGGCAAGTGGGGAATATTGCTATTCTAGCATAGTTTCTGACCAGCTCTAGTTATCTGATGGTATAACTTAATCTCAAACTGGCTTGCTTGCTTGCTTGCTTGCTTGCTTGCTCTCTTGAAAAGTTTCTTTTCAAAACTTCTGCAGCTGGGCAATCTGCTGTAGGGACTTGGAAGCCATGCTAGGCCCTCCAGGCTCTCTGCCATTGAGCTAGGGTCTTGTGAAAGGCCTGCCTCTCGAGTGTTTGGCTCTTATTTCTGCAGCAGGGGAGCACTGAAAATGCTGGCTGGAGAGTCTGTTGGAGCTTTAAGACTTGGTGGTGCAGGGCCGTGACTCCTAGCCTCATGGGGTCACGGCTGTGGGGACTGACCCAGAGGCAAGATGATTTGGGAATCTTCACAGCTGTGTGGTTGGGACTGATGCTTCTGTCGGTCCTATTGGTGCTAAACATCAGTCTTGCTGAGTAGCTCTGGGGCTTGGGGAGCTCACGGGGAAACATAGTCTTTGGTCCAATTAAAAAATGACTTGCCCAGCTATAGAGCTGGTTACCTAATAAAATTAACTTGGAAAAACAAATACAAGTTGTCACTGTTCGCAGTGAATAATTTTACCAGCTCAATCACAAATCATGAGACTCTCCTCAAGGTTAAGAAGGGGAAACTGCAAAAAGAGTGCAGAGCTAGCAGAGACTTACAAATTGTAGAAGTATGTGGTAGCTGCAGTAATGGAAAAATTCAGGTAATTAAACTTTCTACAGCTGGAGAAATGATCTAGCGTACACACAACAGGGGTTTTCTGCAATGAAAGGAATTGGCTTGGTCATCTAAGCATGACTCTTAAAGCTTTCAGAATGACTGATCTTGCTGACTATTTTTTTTTTTTTTTCCCCACAGACCCCCTTGTTTCCTTGGAGTCAGGATCACCTTGGCTGCTGGCATATCTTCCTGTAAGAAGCTGCCACGTAATCTTAAAAGATGATTTTGGGAAATTTTCTCCTCCGCACAGTGGGATTCAAACCAATATCTGGTGCAACTGGACTATTTGGGCAGGCCCTAGAAAGCATATCTTGATTTACATCAAAGGATTTCATGGAAATGAGGATTGTGATGAGAACTGGGATAAAATAATTTTTCAAGGGGTCATGTCAAATGTGGAAAGGAAGATAGCTTATGCTTGCAAGAACCAAGGCACTTTAATTTTTGCTGCTCAGGCCTTGGCAGTCCATGTAGTGTTTTTATCAGGGAGCAGTTTCCTAAGCCAGGAATACAAATTTAAGGGAGAGTATTATACATTCAAAGACTATGAAACTGCAGGCTCCATAGATGTTGCTTCTGAGCAGGCTCTTAAGAAACTGCAGTCTAGGAAAACTAGTTCTAGTGGTATCCTACTTCACCCTAAATTGCCAAAAGTACACTCCCGACGCCTGGGCTTCCAAAAAGCTACTACAGCTCCTAATGATCAGAATAAATTGCGCAAGCTGCCCACAGACCAAGAAGCTGGAAAAGCTACAAACCTAAAAGCTCTCAGAAACCAGATTCTTCATAACTTGCATGCCCATCTATCTCAAGCCATGGACAGCACCACATCACCCACTCCCTTCCCAAAGGGGCAGAAGCCTATGAAACTGGGGGATAACAAAAACTATAGTAGGGAAGAGAAGCCTTCTGACTTTCTAGGGAAAACTCCAGGTTTAAATACCTCTGTGGTGAATGCCACAAAAGACAAGAAAAGGCCAGTGCTTGTTTTTCGTAGACTTCCGCACAGGGTAACTATCCATTCAGACTGGCTGTTCAAACCTTTGGGTATGAAACAACCCAGAAAATCTGCTGAAGTAGAAAGTGTAAGTACTTCCAGAAAATTGGGACCACAGCATGACTCAGCCTTTCACTGGAGACCAGCTGGCCCAGAAGATCTGCAGTCTGACGTGAGAGGGTATGAAGCTGAAATTTCTACCTCTCGTCATGCCTATCAGTCTCTAGAGGGAATGAGGGAGAGAACTCAAACCGTTGCTCCTCAGACTTTCAGAGCTGACCTACCCCAGGACCAAGAGATGCTGCAGGCCAATGCTGTGGAACTGCAGGGAGTGATTAATGACCATGTTTGTTCTCTGGAAGACTCTTGGTCTAACGTTGACCTGACCAAAGGGATTAAAGAAGCAACTGGTCAATTGCAACACATAAAAGAGTTGAAGAGAAATGCTAAAAAGAACGGTAATGATCAGGAAGCCTTTGGAGAAGAGAATGGCAAAGCTAATCTGTACTTGGAGTCAGTTGTCACCTTTACAGCTGTGAAACTTAGTGTCCAGCCTCTTACCTCAGAAACATCAAAGCCTGATCTCAAAACAGAACCAGTTCTGAGTCCTGTAACTGTACAGAACACCCTGGATGTTTCTTCCCTGAAGGCATCTAGCAGTTACTGGGCAGATGCCACTGAATTTCAGGGTGTCGTGAGGAACGTCCAGAGTGGTCTGTTGGTGGCTGAAGCAGCTACCTCTACCCCACATTTTGACAGTAGAATAACCAGAACTAAAGAGCATCTACTACTCGCAAGCACAAAATCTCATCCTTTCTCTCCCTCCTTTGATGTGATAACAAAGCATATTGAATCTCCAGAAGAAGAGGCACACGATTCCTCTGGTAAGGTTGGGGTATGGGGTAAGGTATCTTTCCTCTTAGAATCATGTTTTATTTTGTCAAATTGATCTAACTGATAGTTGTTCTGTGGATTTCTAGGAGAGTGCTCTGTTGTAACTGTTAAATTGATGCACACACTAGAAAGAGGTCCCATGTCTGTAGCCAAGAGCTTTGTCTTCAAGGAGGCTGTCTTCTGATCAGGTTCAGGAATAACTCCTCCCCTCCCCCACCCTCTTTTAAGGATTGATTAGGTGACTGGCTCTG